TATTTTTAGAGTTGCTCGTGGATGTTGCGTCCTGTAGAGCAATCCCTTTTATGTGACTGTGAGCATAGGAGAACCTTTATGACCAACTAGAAGCTGCACTAAGAAAATGACACTGGTGAGATTTCCAGGCAATGTGTTTTGTTCATCACCTGGTGTCTGAGGAGGCACAGAACACAGGAACCCTAAGGAAGGAGAAGGAGAACTTGAGCTGTGTCTGTCATTCAGCTTTTCTGTACCTACTGTGCTGACAGCTGTCCTTTAAATACAAAATAGTCTTAAATTTAAATTATGAGGTTTTATATAACTCATTAAAATATAGAAACATAGACATATCTGAGTAGCAAGTCTATAATTCTTATCTCTGTGTGAAGTTCTAAGTTAGGATTCAGAACCCAAGGGCTTTTGTATAAAAACCATAAAATACACTATTTCAAGTAGTAGCATATCAAAGTAACAATGATGATTAGAGTGTCCTTATTTTGTCATTAAAATATAAAATTTCCCAAGAATAAACAGGTATATTTACTTCCTCCATCTCCTGGAACCATAATTTGGTTTACCTGTTGGTGTGTTCCTTAATCTATTCATTAAAATTTTTCCTCTTGTTATTATAAGATAGGTTTCAAATATTCTTTAGTATTTTATGATATTTGGTGCTTTAAGATTTTGATGCAAATACATGAGAGTTCTATGCGTTCATACATACTTGATGAGATTTCATTATCTGTGGCAGGGCAGAGGAGTGTGTGCTACACTGATCCTGAAAGGGGGACATGTTCATATCTTCTACTGAGGCACCTCAGTTGCCATTTGTATTAGCTGTAAATGATATTTAATTTCATGTGATGAACAAATCCGATTTCATGAAAATGGATTGCATGCCCCATCCCTATTTCTTTGTGTAATGACCCATGTAATGTAATATAGCCTCAATCTATCTTCTTACCACATCTTCTCATTCTGTAGCCACAGTCCTTACTTAAGATATTATATTAAGTTCTTCCTGTATAAAGACCTAGTTATTCATGGGATAAACAATTATTTATTATATCCTAGGTGCCATTTTCTCAAGACAGTCAAAATGCTAATGAAGCTTATATTCTAGTGAAGGAAATTGATTGCAAAGAAATACATATGTGTGAGTGTGTGTGTGTGTGTGAGTGTGTGTGTGAGTGTGTGTGTGTGTTGGTGTTATTTGCTGATAATGAAGGATAATGTGAATAAAAATTAAATTGGGTTGCAGGATAGAATGATCAGGGAACGTTTCTCTGAAACAGAGCTAGGATAGGCCATGAAGAAATATTCTGTGGTGGCCTATGGACAGAGTGCTGTGGACAGAGGGGAGGAAAATCAGACAGGCATACACTTATAGGTCAGGAGCCCAAGCAAGGATGGTGCGGCTAGAGTGGGAAAAGAGTGCAGCAGGGAGCATCCTTCGAGCAGAGCTTCTTAAACTTTTTCCATTCATGACATTTCCCCTACCAATTTTTACATGACTCTGGGTAGGTAAGTCTATAAAATAGGAATACAAATAAAATGTTTACTGATAATAAACCATAAAGAAACATTTCATTTTTGAGACAGGATCTCCCTGTAGCCCCAACTGGCCTGGAACTCACTCTGTAGACCAGACTGGCCTCGAGTTCACAGAGATCCACCTGCCTCTGCCTCCCAAGTGCTGGGAGTAAAGGTATGCACCACTGCTCCCAGCTTAAAGAAACTTATTTTAAAATAACTATTTGGTATACATACTACTAGTTACAAATTTACATACTAATAAGATGGATGTGCTTTCTTACACATAAAGAATTAAATCTTGGCTGAATATTGAATTATGCAGGATACACAGCATCTTCAGTGTTTTCCAGAGTTTATATATATTTGACTCCATAATTGTTAATGCTGAGAATTATCCTTTACCTAAATTCATAGTATAAGATAGCAAAAGTATGTTTAGGGCTGTTTCAGAAGTGTTTAGAAATTCTGTCCTAAACCCCAGACAAAATTTATTTAGTGATTGCTAATGAAATTCAAGTCAGCAGTTTTTAAAATAAAATGTTTTACAACCTAAAGAGATCCTAATTTGTTACGTGCTAAGGAATAGTGGTAGGAAAATAATGAAAGTCTTTATTTTCCATAATTAACCGCCATATTTCTATTAGAGCATGAACTTTTCATGTACAGCAGCATCACTGCAATTCAAAGCAAACAGTAGTCTCAAATCTGAGCTGGGGCAGTGTTTCTCAGTGTCATGTGAGGTGATGGTGTATGTAGTGCCAAGTGTGTGTGTTGCCTATTCATAACCAAGGCTGCAGTGATGTCAAGGATGCAATATGGGCAAGAGCTGCCAGAAACACCTATGATTCAGTACACATTTGTACACATTTTTAAAAAATGTTTTATTATTTTTTATTTTATGTGTATGAGTATATTGCCTGCATGTATATAAGTGCACCTGTGCCATGCATTGCCCATGGAGGTCAGAAGAGAGTTTCAGATTCCCCTTGAACTGGATTTACAGACAGTTGTTAGCTACCAGGTGGGTGCTGGGAATTGAACCCGGTTCTCTGCAAGAACAGCCAGTACTCTTAACCGCTGAACCATCTCTCCAGACCCTTCAGTACACATATTATTTTGAATTCATTTTTACCACTGTGCATTCAGAAACCTTTTACTATTGTCACATTTTCTCAGCCCTCATATTCAATTATGTGATCTCATGGGGTCATGGCAACAGCTTAAGAATCTAAGCTCTAGAAGCATAAAACCAATAGAATAAAAGAGGATTTAATTGACTTATGTGGTTGAGAGACTAGATAGTCCCACCATGACCACCTTCAGACTGGGGAGATGGAAAAATCAGCAGCTACTCGGTCCAAGAAGCTGGAAACCTCAGGACAAGAGAAGCCCTAGTGTGAGGCTGAAGGCCTGGAGGCTGCCTGGAGAGTCACTGGTGCCAGTCCGGGTTGAAAGTCCAGGAAGGTGGACACTGATGTGCCCAGGTGATGGCAGAAGATGTGCATGTTCCAAAAAATTGTAGTTGCTCTCTGTGGCAGGTCTCTTCCCTCCATTCTTGTCCCATCTGAGCTCCCAGCCTATTAGAAGTGACCCATGTTCATGGTGGCCTTCCCCCTCAGTTTGCTTTCCTAGGTGCCAGTTGTCTATAGAAATGTCATCACACCCTGAGAAGTGTGCATTACTGATTTCCCAATTCAATCACGTTTACAATCATGTGCAAGTATCACAGGATCTGGAGATAATTCCAAAGAAATAAAAGATCTGCAAAAAAGCAGGAGTGGGATGGAAGGCTTGGCTCAGCATTGAAGAGCAATGACTGTTCTTGCAGAGGACCTGGGTTTGGGTCCCAGCACCCACATGGTGGCTAACAACCACCTATAACTCCAGTTCCAGGGGATCCAACACCCTCTTCTGACCTCCTTGAGCATTAGATGCACATAGTGCACTTACATACAGGCAAAACACTCATACACATAAAAATAAGTAATAAATAAATAAAAATGTTTAAAAAGTAAAGAAAAATAGGAGTGACATGAAAAAGTATGTTGAAGTCTCCATAGCCAGTGTTCTAAGTTCCAACTGATAGGCAGCCATTGCCAGGATTTCATAGCAATGTTTAGGTAGCAAATAAGTCATTTCCACAAACATGGTACTAATGTTCAATAAAATAATTGTGTGAACATTGTTCACTGTTCATTGTTCATTCAACTCTGAGTTCATTATGTCTACATACATCATGAGGCAGACATTTCTGTCAGGAATTCTCCTGAGTTTCTTAATATTAAGAAACTCATTTTTAATGTTCCACACTTCTGTATAAAGTCAATGATATTCTTCTGATTAGCTTGTATAATGTATAACTCTAAAATGACCTATTTTAATAATATTTATGCAATAATAGTAACAAGTGTGGCCACCTGCTAAGTTTGTAGAGCAATGTTTTCTCATTACAAAGTATCATGATTTATAGGTTGCAATGATGATGGGTTGATTCAAAAGTAATTAGAATCCTCAGGGCTGGAGAGATGGCTCAGTGGTTAAGAGCAATGGCTGCTATTGCAGAGGACCCAGGTTCAGTTCCCAGCACCCATGTGGTGGCTAGCAACCATTTGAAACTCCAGTTCCACAGGATCCAATGCCTTCTTCTGACCTCCACAGGCACATGGGTGTCATGCAAATGCCACAGAGGTCAGAAGAGGGCTTCAAATTCCCCTGAAACTGGAGTTAAGGACAATTCATAGCTGCCATGTGGGTGCTGGGAATTGAACCTGGGTCCTCTGAAAGAGCAGTTGGTGCTCTTAACTGCTGAGCCATCTCTCCAGTCCCCATCTATAAATTTTGAAATATCAGATATCAGTTATATATTGAGAACATAGCGCTGAAAAGAATGATTTCAGACCTGCTCTGTCCGGGACCACACAGTCTAGGTTTAGAGGTGACAGTATTTAAAGTGTCACTCATGTAAATTCATATTAAAGTTTTGATAAGAGTAAGGTGGAAAGGAAGGCACATGGAAATAGGGGAGGACTCATCGGAGCAAGTGTCATGGATCTCCAGTCTATGTTAGTCCGGTCAGCATGTGGGATAAGTACAAAAATAACAATTCTTACACCATTTTGAAAATTGATTAGCTGTGACTACAGCACCTTCTGAAGGAGTTTGTGTTAAGCCTCAGAGCTTCACTGTGTCTTAGGCCTGTAACCTTAGAGTCATCTCTGAGAACCAAAGAACAGCTTGAGCCACTCAGCTGTCTCAGGTCTGCATGTACTCGATCCCCATGCCACATGTTTGAGGCCCACCTAGAGGATTGCTTCAGTTGAGGATGGGGAGGGAAGCATTCAAATTCTAGCTCAAATGTACCCATCAATTTTCAGTGCCCAGGGAAAAGGACTTTTTACTTTTTGCAGTTTTATGTTGTAATAGAAGCTCAACTAATGCGTCTATAATTTTCTTTCTCTTTTGCTAACACGGACTCTACAAAGGCTCAGGTTGGTGCTGCCATCTGTTCTGATCTTTACTGTTGTCATTGAGTGAAAAGACGCTTTGATGGTTTTCCTTCACAAATTAGCTTTTTTTTTTTCCCTTTATAAATTCTGATCAAAACATTGTTCACATATGGAAGAAAAAAGATCATCCCACTGAAGAGCCAGTTCCTTATATGCTGCTGTTGAATGAATTCTTTTGCTGCAGTAGAATAACTGTTTCATAAAGCCAAATTGTCATACTTGGTTTATTCATGATAGAAAGAAAACAGTGCTCTGGGCTTTCCCAACCAGCACAGCAACCCAGTCTCTGAAAAGATTTTTGATGTTGAATCTGCTCTGTATTTTCAGAGTGTTCTAGATGACATTCTCGATGCGTGATCAGCATAACTCCAAAAGGTGTTTAGGAATTCTACACATAGATCCATACTTATTCTCTAGGATCACCAAATATCAGCTTTCACACTCAGAAAATTCATGGTCTGTGTATCTGCCTTGTCTCTCTCTTGTTTTCAATCTCACATTCTCTGGTTTTTTAATAGCCATTAATCTAGTTCCAAGATTATATCAATATCTCATATAAATCTCAAGTTCTTTACTTTTATAGTTTGAATAAATCCACATGCTATTTCAGTCCACCCTGATTCTTGTTTGAAATACCATTGGTCATATATGGATAAAAACATCAGTAATGCTTTTAGAGACTACAAACATTGTAGGCTGGAATGATTTTATGATGCCTTAGGGGCCAGGAGCTAAGTGCAGCTAAAGTGAGTTTATCAGTCACAGGAGAATCCATTTTTCCCTCACATTCAGAGTTTTACAAGGATTAAAAGGGTGGAAATAAAATGAGTTGGTAGTTCTGATGCACAGGGAGGGTATAGGATGTGCCTTTCCAGACCCACAGTGCCTTTTGCTGATTGGTAGCCATATGGTAGAATTTCAGATCCAAGAAATATGTGATCACATACCTTCTAATATGCCTAAGGTTCATCTAAATACTTGGTTTGGCTTTTTCTGGTGTTATGATATATGAAAATCATCACAGTTCTTGGAATTGGTTTCCATTTCATGCTCTGGGCATGTAAAACCAGATTACAATAAAGATAGGTTTGCTTGAATTACAGATATATTTCATGTTCTTATGCTTCGCCTCTAAGATTGTTGTAAATATTGATCAAGATAGATACTTATAATCCTATAGGAAATGTTTTCCATGTTTACAAATAATGTTCAACTGTGTACCACGCTGCACAAAACATGCAATGTAATGGATTATCTTAGCTTCATGACCCAAAAGGTTTCACTGTGGTGACTTCAAGTCATTGTTAAAGTTGAAGACAGTCGGAGGACATTCTCCTATTCATGACTTATTCCTTCTGAATAATCAAAACTTCATCTCACTTATCAGAATATCTTATTTTTATTTAATTTTAAACTAAAAGGGATCACATTTGAAAATGTCTCTCAAACTGAATAACACCATATAAAAATGAAGAAACTAAGTCTACTATAGTTTATTCTGTCCTGTATAAATATAAAGAGAAGGGGTTCAACATATAAGATATTGTGAGTAGGATGGCTGTAACTGCCCAGCTCTTCAACATTAGAGTAGCACCAGCTATAGACAGTGCATAAGCAAATAAGCAGGGCTACAGCTCACTGAAACCTGATTGAAAGAAATAAGCAATGTCAGTGAAATGGCAGGATAAAGACCTTCTTCTCTTGCATAAAAACAACAAGAACCTGGCAAAATTAATCATCATCAAGTTTCTTAGAGTTCTGAAAAATTAGTTGAAGGTTTGAAGCAATCCTGGATCATTTATTTGGGGGAGAAAAAAACAGCAACTATATCTCAATAGAAGCAGAAAGCTATGGTCTGTTTAAACTTACCCTATTTCCCTGTGCCCAGCCCAGCTCTAAGAGAGCCTTGACCTTGAAGAAACTGCTCGACTGTGGCTAACCACGAAGAGGCACAACAGCCACAGCAAAGCCCCTATTGGAATCCACTGGAGAGGGTGGAACAGAGCTGGAGCCCCTTCAAATCCTATCCTTGAAAAGCTGTTATTATTTGGACTGACAGAGGCTCCTTGGGAGACCCCACTCACCAGCAAATGCTTGACCTGACTTTTAACCTGCTTTTTCAGTGGAGACATTAGTGTAGAACAATCAGAGAAAGTATTTAACTTTCACTTATGATTGTAGCTAACAGTTCCAGTTAAGGATAACAAAATTTGTAAACAGAATGTCAGCAAAATGAAATAGTCCAGGGTTTTTGACAAATTCTGAGAGATTCATGAGAACTAAAAGACCATGTGTACACATACTCTAGGCTGTGAGACACTCTGGAAAACCTGACAAAAAACTGAACTCTCATCTTGGGCTTATCTGGAGGCTTTGCACATAGAAAATAAAAAGAAAAGAAGACAGAAAATTGCCTGGAGTGGACTGGCAAGATGGATCAGCTGGTAAAGGTGCTTGCCACGCAAACCTGGTAACCTGTATTTGATTTCTGGGACCCATAAAAAGGTGGAAGGAAGACAACTGTCTCTACAAAGTTGTCTCCCCATGCACTCTATAGCATGCACACCCTCACACAGAGACATCTTATACACACAGATACACATGCACACAATTAGAAATAAATAAAAGTAGGGGGCTGGAGAGATGAATCAACAGTTAAGAGCACTGGTTGCTCTTGCAGAGGACCCAGCTTTGATTTTCAGCACCCACATGGCAGCTAGTAACCATCCTAACTCCAGTCCCAGGGAATCGATGCCCTCTTCTGACCTCTGTGGGCATTGCACAACACCAGTGCGTGTGTGTGTGTGTGTGTGTGTGTGTGTGTGTGTGTGTGTGTGTGTATATGGAAGCAATGCACTCATACACATAAAAGCTTTTTAAATATTTTTTTAAAAAGTAAAATTGCCTGACTGAATGTGGAATATGAGCACCAAAATATACATAAACCCCACAAGCAAAGACATATAAACTTACTGATTTCAGGCATTAAAAGAAACTTAAGTCAGATCATAGACTAGAGATATAATTAAATATGATAAAGACAAGCCTTGGAAGGTAGCTCAGCTGGTACAGTACTTGCTTACCACGAAGCCTTGGGTTCTGTCCCCAGCACTTCACTAACTGTGCATGGCAGCCCATGCCTATAATCCCAGCACTTAGGAAAAGGAGGCAGGAAGATCAAGAATTCAAGGTCTTGGACTACATGATGGGTTTCAGGCCAGCCTGGGCTACATGAGACCCTATCTCTAAAAATAATAAAATAAAATATAGGATAGTGAATTAGTTCAAAAAAGACTATCATATAATAACAATAGAATTGCAATAGTAACAAATGTTGAAAAGAAACAGTTACCACATCGTGTCATTTAAATGGCTAGAAAGTTGTGAGGTATGCAAAGAAAGTGCAGTTGAGATGTTAGACTTCACTAGACAAATACTTTACAGCAACTATTTCAAGAATGATCCAAGAGCTAAAAGAAAACATGTTTAAGGGGCTAGTGTGTGGAAATAATGTCAGATCAATAGAGAATATTCTTGGCCTGAATGGAAACTATTTTAAAAACTGCATATGTTCTGGGTAGAAAAAAGTACAAAAAAATGAAGTTTTCACCAGAGGATATGGGGGTGATTTGCACAGGCAGAAAGGAAGATGTGTTAAATTGGAGGACATCAGTGTGGAAGGCATCTGGTCTGAGGAACAGACAGAAGGGGGGGAAACCTCAGAAATCTCAGGGACTCTGTCAGGCATTGGCTCATACACAGAGTCCCAGGAGGGGGGGGGAAAGAGGAAAGAGAGAGGAAGAGAGCGTATTTAAAGAAATAAGACCCCAAACTTCCTAAATTTTAGGAAAAACCTTACACATCCAAATGCTCAAGAAATTCTATGTAAGATAAACTCTGAGAGTTCCATACCCCTCTGCCCCAACTGCATTAAAAGTTGTGAAAGGCAAACAGGATGTTGAAGCAGTGGAAGAAAAGTGAACTTCGGTGCAGGACCAGCAGCTCAGTTCTTTCCAGAACAGAGGCCAGAGGCAGTTGGAAAATATTTAGAATCCAAGTCAACCAAGAAGTCTATATCCAGAAATTACATTTTCCAAAATGAAGAAATTAAGAAAATCTCACATAATAGAAAGCTGAGAGAATTCTGACTGACACGACACCTACTAAGTCCTCCAGAAAGTCCTTCTGGCTAAAATAGACAGACAAGACATTGAATGGTTTATGCCAAGAAAATTAAGGGCCACAGCTAAAGGTCCTGTGTACACAACAAGAACAAGCCACGCGGGGTGAGTAAATGCATGTTTTTCTCACCTGCACATTCTCCAGCAAAGACTCATGTTAGGACATATAATAGTCTCAATTAATTGAAAATAACTGAATTATACAAACTATGGAGGGAAACAGCAGTCAAAACATCATGAAAAAGGACTGAATTGAAGGACCTCTACTGAAAAACGTCATAACTGCAGCAATCAAGTCTGGGTTAGACTAACCTCAGCCAGACCTACAGCTCAATAGGATAGAAGTGAAACTTCTAGAAACAGACCATTGCATTTGTGATGTTTGTTTTTGATGAAGACTTTTCAATGTTGATGTAACTAATTGATACAAATTCAGTGAGTTAAACAACATATGTTTATTATTTTACAGGTAAGGAGGTAAAAAAAGTCTAAAGACAAGATGAGGGGATGGCTTCCTCAGTACCCCCAGGAGACGCAATTCCTTCTACAGTCTAACGTTGAGGCTGCCACCATTGGCAGCATGCCCCTCTGATCTCTGCTTTATTTTCACACCCTTCTCCTGTATCTGACTTTTCTGTGTTGCTCTTAGAAGGATCCTTGTCTATATATCTAGCCCACCTGGGTAATGCAGGATTATCTCACTATCTCATAAAATCCCCAATTTAGGGAATGTGCACATGTCTCAGTGGGTAAGTGCACTTGCTATACAAGCATAGGATCCTGAGTTCAAATCACGAGCAC